CCTGCTGCCCTGAAAAGTGGATCGGGTACCAAGGAAAATGTTACCTTTTCTCTGAGGATGAAGCAAACTGGACCTCAAGCCAACATTCCTGCTCTTCCCATGGTGCCTCCTTGCCTTGGCTTGACACCCTGCAGGAAAAGGTGATTACATTAAAAAAAAAATGCTGATGGTAGGTACCGATTAAAGTATCTCAGCTCAGGAGAAACGGATAGCACCCTCCAAAACAGAGTGAACCCATTTCTGAATGCAAAATGCAAATTATATTTATTTGCATTGTAGCAGTGAGCCTCAACTGAGATCAGGCCCCGTTGTGCCGGGCGCTGCACAGACACCCAGCGAGAGACAGTCCCTGCCCCAGCTGAGATCAGGGCCCCATTGTGCCGGGCGCTGCACAGAGGGACAGTGAAAGACAGTCCCTGTGCTGATGATCTTACACTCTAAATATGCAAAACAGACAAGGAGAAGATTATTATCCCCATTTTACAGATGTGGAACTGAGGCACGGGGAGAATATGGGCAGGATTTTCAAAAGGGCTCAGCGTTGGCCTTACCTACACAGGGAGAGAATATCAGATACTAGAACAGTCTAGCAGGTAAAGGAAGAGGAAGATCCAGAGGTTCAGAAACTAGATAAATTCAACCTGGAAGAAAGGCACAACGTTTTGTCAGTGGTTAATTAACCCTGGGAGCAGCTTCCAGAGGGAGGTTGTGGATTCTCCATCACTTGCAGTCTTTAAAACAAGTGTGGATGACTTTCTGAATGACACACTCTAGCTCAATCATAAGTTAGGGGCTGGATGCAGGAGTCACTGGGTCACTCCTCTGGTCCTTGTGATGCAGGAGGTCAGGCTAGATCATCTGATGGTCCCTTTCGGATCTAGGGCCTGAGTTCTCTGTGATGCTGAGGCCCTTTTACACTGACCTGTCGTAGCATCAGGGAGAATCCGGCCCTATGACTCTGAGTAGGGAGAGAAGGATGAGTCCAAGGGGTTTGGTTTGTCATCATAGACTCATAGGACTGGAAGGGACCACGAGAGGTCATCTAGTCCAGTCCCCTGCGCTCAGGGCAGGACTAAGTATTACCTAGACCATCCCTGATCTGTGTTTGTCTGACCTGCTCTTAAAAACCCCCAATGATGGAGATTCAACAACCCCCATGGGCAATTTATTCCAGTGTCTAACCACCCTGACAGTTAGGAAGTTTTTCCTAATGTCCAACCTAAACCTCCCTTGCTGCAATTTAAGCCCATTGCTTCTTGTCCTGTCCTCAGAGGTTAAGAAGAACAATTTTTCTCCCTCCTCCTTGTAACAACCTTTTATGTACTTGAAAATGGTTATCATGTCCCCTCTCAGTCTTCTCTTCTCCGGACTAAACAAACCCAGTTCCTTCAATCTTCCCTCATAGGTCATGTTTTCTAGACCTTTCATCATTTTTGTTGCTCTTCTCTGGACTTTCTCCAATTTGTCCACATCTTTCCTGAAATGTGGCGCCCAGAACTGGACACAATACTCCCGCTGAGGCCTAATCAGCGCAGAGTAGAGCAGACAGGGCCGGCACTGCCCATTAGGCGACCTAGGCAGTCGCCTAGGGCACTGCGATTTCGGGGGCCGCGACCGCGGCGGCCGGATCTTCGGCCACCCTGGTCGTCAGCGGTATTTGGGGGTGGGACCTTCCGCCGCCCCTGTCGGGGGCAGCATTAAGGGGGCGGGACCTTCCGCCGCCTAGGGCGCCAAAAAAGCTGGCGGTGCTCCTGAGAGTGGAAGAATTACTTCTCGTGTCTTGCTTAAACCAGTGTTAAAAAAACAAACAATGTAACGTCTATTTCCCCTTTAACAGGATTTCTTGATGCGACACAAGGGCTACCTTGATGCCTGGATCGGCCTCAGGAGGGAACTGGGCCAGCCCTGGAAGTGGCCCAATGGCTCAGTATTCAACGACCCGTGAGTCATTTTCTTTCTATTCACTGTCTTGGGTCTACAGGCAGCTGAGGTGGGGGCTCCCC